TAATATAATATAATATTATAATATAATAATATTAATATAATATAATATTATAATATTATAATATTTTATAATATATAATATTATAACATAAATATAATATTAATTGATATTATATATAATATAATACTATATAATTATATAATATTATCTAAATAAATTTATATAATAATAAAACACCTAACAATCCTAATCCTAATAATCCTAATAATCCATAATAATGATTTCAATAAATTTAGAACAGAAATGATGAAGTCGTTAATATTGGCACGGTAGGTTCAATGTTAACGAGTGTGACCCTTAAGGGTTAACGAGCCAAGTTTTCCGAATTCTCGGGCAATTCTCTCGCAAACAACTCGGAATCAGCCTCTCAGTCCCGACACGTGGCGGTGGCAGTCGATTAAGTCACCGGTTGACGGGCTGTCAATGCGATTAGGAGACTTCTTACTCACCTAAGGAGCACCTGGTGTAGTTCGACGGCGAACGAGGTGACGAGGGAGGCCAATGCCAGCACGAGACCGCCAATCACTGCCGTAAACCTTGTATTTCCTCGGCGACACACGCAGACGACGAACGGGGCTGAACCACGGGAAACCGCAGCACTCAATGCTCCGGCCCATGCTAAAACGTTAATTCGATAGTTACTTTAGGCTACGTGGCCAAACACTATGCTTGCGACAGGATGGCCCAACCCCCGTGTTTCTTTATCAATTAATGCTCGGCCATAAACGGCCGAACTTTCTACAAATTTCCACTTTCGCAGCTCCGTTATTGAAGTCATGATCATGGACACATAGCTTGGTCGATGGGTTTTAGAACTATTTCGAATTGACGGCGTGATTATATTGGATTGACATTGGAATTATTTAGGATTCGCTTTGGAATAATTTTGGGATTGTTTAGGATTCGCTTTGGAATGATTTTGGGATTGTTTAGGATTTGCTTTGGAATTATTTTGGAATTGTTTAGAATTCACTTTGGAATAATTTAGAATTCGCTTTGGGATGATTTTGGGATAATTTAGGATTCGTCTTAGAACTATTTTGGAATAATTTAGGATTCGCTTTGGAATTATTTTGGAATAATTTAGGATTCGCCTTAGAATTATTTTAGAATAATTTAGAATTCGCTTTGAGATGATTTTGGAATAATTTAGAGGATTCGCCTTAGAATTATTTTGGAATAATTTAGGATTCACTTTGGAATTATTTTGGAATAATTTAGAATTCACTTTGGAATTATTTAGGATTCGCTTTGGGATGATTTTGGAATAATTTAGGATTCGCCTTAGAATTATTCGGGAATAATTTAGGATTCGCTTTGGAATAATTTAGAATTCGCTTTGGGATGATTTTGGGATAATTTAGGATTCGTCTTAGAACTATTTTGGAATAATTTAGGATTCGCTTTGGAATAATTTAGAATTCGCTTTGGGATGATTTTGGAATAATTTAGGATTCGCCTTAGAATTATTCGGGAATAATTTAGGATTCGCTTTGGAATAATTTAGAATTCGCTTTGGGATGATTTTGGAATAATTTAGGATTCGCCTTAGAATTATTCGGGAATAATTTAGGATTCGCTTTGGAATAATTTAGAATTCGCTTTGGGATGATTTTGGAATAATTTAGGATTCGCCTTAGAATTATTCGGGAATAATTTAGGATTCGCTTTGGAATAATTTAGAATTCGCTTTGGGATGATTTTGGAATAATTTAGGATTCGCCTTAGAATTATTCGGGAATAATTTAGGATTCGCTTTGGAATAATTTAGAATTCGCTTTGGGATGATTTTGGAATAATTTAGGATTCGCCTTAGAATTATTCGGGAATAATTTAGGATTCGCTTTGGAATAATTTAGAATTCGCTTTGGGATGATTTTGGAATAATTTAGGATTCGCCTTAGAATTATTCGGGAATAATTTAGGATTCGCTTTGGAATAATTTAGAATTCGCTTTGGGATGATTTTGGAATAATTTAGGATTCGCCTTAGAATTATTCGGGAATAATTTAGGATTCGCTTTGGAATAATTTAGAATTCGCTTTGGGATGATTTTGGAATAATTTAGGATTCGCCTTAGAATTATTCGGGAATAATTTAGGATTCGCTTTGGAATAATTTAGAATTCGCTTTGGGATGATTTTGGAATAATTTAGGATTCGCCTTAGAATTATTCGGGAATAATTTAGGATTCGCTTTGGAATAATTTAGAATTCGCTTTGGGATGATTTTGGAATAATTTAGGATTCGCCTTAGAATTATTCGGGAATAATTTAGGATTCGCTTTGGAATAATTTAGAATTCGCTTTGGGATGATTTTGGAATAATTTAGGATTCGCCTTAGAATTATTCGGGAATAATTTAGGATTCGCTTTGGAATAATTTAGAATTCGCTTTGGGATGATTTTGGAATAATTTAGGATTCGCCTTAGAATTATTCGGGAATAATTTAGGATTCGCTTTGGAATAATTTAGAATTCGCTTTGGGATGATTTTGGAATAATTTAGGATTCGCCTTAGAATTATTCGGGAATAATTTAGGATTCGCTTTGGAATAATTTAGAATTCGCTTTGGGATGATTTTGGAATAATTTAGGATTCGCCTTAGAATTATTCGGGAATAATTTAGGATTCGCTTTGGAATAATTTAGAATTCGCTTTGGGATGATTTTGGAATAATTTAGGATTCGCCTTAGAATTATTCGGGAATAATTTAGGATTCGCTTTGGAATAATTTAGAATTCGCTTTGGGATGATTTTGGAATAATTTAGGATTCGCCTTAGAATTATTCGGGAATAATTTAGGATTCGCTTTGGAATAATTTAGAATTCGCTTTGGGATGATTTTGGAATAATTTAGGATTCGCCTTAGAATTATTCGGGAATAATTTAGGATTCGCTTTGGAATAATTTAGAATTCGCTTTGGGATGATTTTGGAATAATTTAGGATTCGCCTTAGAATTATTCGGGAATAATTTAGGATTCGCTTTGGAATAATTTAGAATTCGCTTTGGGATGATTTTGGAATAATTTAGGATTCGCCTTAGAATTATTCGGGAATAATTTAGGATTCGCTTTGGAATAATTTAGAATTCGCTTTGGGATGATTTTGGAATAATTTAGGATTCGCCTTAGAATTATTTTGGAATAATTTAGGATTCGCCTTAGAACTATTTTGGAATAATGTAGGATTCGCTTTAGGATTATTTCGGAATAATTTAGGATTCGCTGTGGAATTATCTTGGAATAATTTAGAATTCGCTTTGGAATGATTTCGAATTTACTTAGGATTCGTCCTTAATATTTCCTTCATCATTTACAGCTTTCAAAATTGTTCTTTAACAATTCTCCGAATAATCCTGTCCATAAAATTCTCCAATGCGCGGCAAACTTGGCGGAGAATTTCCGGTACGAGGATAAAGATCGTTAATCCGCCGCATATGAAATTGTTTCATCATAGCAGGAGGCTCCGTGCAAGTAACAGAAAAGAAAGACCGAGGAACGGCGGCGTTCGCGTTCCCGCGAGGAGCAACGTTACCGGTAAAAACTTAATTACAGCACTCGGTTCCGCTCGGCGCAGTTCCCGCAACAAAGAAGCGTCGGCTGCGTTCCGGGCGAAGTATTTCCGGCCCTTACGGCGATTATTTTTAAGCGCGCGCGCGCGGGCGCGGGCCACGCGTAAACGCGCGTCTCGAGAACACCTCCTAATCCGCAGCCGGTCCTCTCCGGGGTACCGTTTGGTCGGCGGTCGTCGCATTTAACTAGCAGAAAGGCGGCATCGCCTCGCAATTTCCGGCTCGCATCTCTCGCGATTTTATTTCTTTTTATTGAAATTACGCGGGCGCGACACGCCACCGCCCGGATTAAATGCGGACGATCCCGAGGGCGGCGCTCGCTTTATCCAATCCCTACGAGCGCGCTCCTTTTGCGCTGTGTGAATCGTGGACGTTCTAACGAGAGACAACTTTGATGGCGCGACGCCGGCAAAGTGGCGCATCATTAAATAAAAAGAGCGAGCGCGGTCGGAGGAGCCGGAACGAAGGACAGGAGAAGACAGAGGCCGAGAAGGTGAGGAAGATAGAGGCGGATAAAAAGGAGAAAGCGGGGAGAAGGACGGGCGGGGAACACAGCGGAGAGAACGAGCCTCATTTAGCGGTGCGCGCGAGACCGCGAGTCGGCGAGTTTCGAAAATTTTATACAATTTTCGAGGGTCTCGGATCGCTCGTGGCCTTCTTTTCCGGCCGCATTCACCCTTGAATCGCGGGCCGGAGTGCCGCTCGCGAGCGTTCCGCGGCCGCTTATTCCTCCTTCATGCTTAATTAGGGGAAGGCGAAGACGCCTGACGCGATTCACCGCCGGCCGATTCTCGTAATTAAACGCGAGACGGTCGCGCTTTGTGTTATGATTTTTTAATTAGCTCCTACGAGTGAAAGGGCTCGGGCTAGCGTGCTGCTCCTGGCCAGGATACTTTCCTCTCTCACTCTCTCTCTCTCTCTCTCTTTCTCTTTCTCTGTCCTTCCTTCTCTCCTCTGTCCCCGCTTTTTACTGTTCACCGTGACGAAGTGGTAGTAAACAGCGAGACGGAATCCACCCTAAGGGCCGACTGTTTGGAATTTTATTGCTCGAGGGTTCTTGTTCCTACTACTACCATTCCCCGAGAAACGGGAACAATGTGCCGAGGATGCGCCGGTGATTTGCTCCGGTCCGATGCGAGACTAATTAACGATTCGTGTCGGCCGCCAGCGCAGCGCCACGAAAGCATTAATTAAAGTAATGCTGTCCGCGAGCTGCAGAATGTCAAGCTCGAATTTGCTGGACCACGGGAATCTAACCGGCATAACTTCCCTGGGATTGGGATCGTCACACGGAGTCGCTCTGTTTCGCTGACTGTGATGCTTGTTGTGTATTTCAGGATCTCTGCCGGGATATACGCTATTTCTGATTTAACGTCGGACTGTTCCGTTTGATTGGATTGTCCTACTTGCCGCAACGTGCCCATAGATCATGCTATTTTCTACGGTTTAGTCGGAGCTTGTCTTGTCTGATTTTACATTGATTTACTTCGCTTGGATAAGCCTGATTCGTTCTACTTGCGGGAATTGTTATTGACAGGTATCGTTCGTTCTACTTGTCTGATTATATTACGGTTCGTACTGTATTATATAATTTTTATAGCGGCGGCTGTCTGATCTTATAATGATATTATATATTTTACTTCGCACGGAGAACGTTGCGAAGAAATTTCATGTAATTGTATTACTGTTGAAATGATCTACTTGTCTGATACGATTTAGTATTATTATTAGTATTATTTACAGTATTATTAGTCGTTAATCGGCAGTATTATTAGTCGACGTATTATCAGTATTATTAGTATTAGTTATTAGTATTATTATTAATATTCGTTTCGTCTGATTTTATATCGATACACTCCACTTGTTCGATTTAGTTTTTTTAGTACATAGTTCGACCGACTTGCTCTGCTTATCTGAGTATGCGACAGTTCATATCGCTTTCTTCAATCTTTAATTTATGTAGCTTTTTATTTATACGATTTATAGAATCGGACGTGATTTTATATCCACGCGTCCCACATACTTGTGCGATTCAATGAAAC